GATAACTAAGCACGATTTTTCGGTCCTGGAGTTAGCAGAAAGAGCATCTAAAATATGTAAGCTTTTAATTTGTTGCAATGCATTGTAAATGGGAACAAACATAAAATAGGTGTTACTACAATTTGGCTGCAAAAGTGGAAATACACTTTAAGGTTGTGCAATATTCTTTACATTTTTAAACATAGCAGTGTTTTTCCAGGGATATAATCCCAACTATCACTTGTACTTCTCCATAATTATATATCTTAACTTAAATGTAGTCAAAACCTTTTGAGATAATTACTGATGATCTTCAGGAATGCATTAATAAATACTGCTTTAGGCTGTCTCTGAAGATTGCAGATTACAATACTGTCAAATTGCACACCATGATTTTAGCAGGTTTGATATGATGGCACTTTGACCTTCTATAATGCAGCAGAGCAAAGAATACTGATGTTTCAATGTATAGTCATTCCCTAATTGGCCACTTCACAGTCTGTTGAGTATAACCCCAATTAATATATCTCTTGCTTCTGTATATACAAAGGAACATAGTGGAACAGATGTGTAAGATAACATCACTATTGATGTATTGTAATTTCAAATGCATCACAGTGCCTTAAATTGAAATATAGCCTCCGCTCTTATGCAAAAAATGTTCCATTCACTGCTGATTGACAAGCATGTAGATTGCCAATCAGTACCAGGCCACACCTAGTTCTGCTCACTGCTTTCTGGATTGACTGTATTGCCTTTGCTGCTGAAACCCTCCAACTGTGAGCTGCAGTGTCAGGGAGGGGAAGCGTGTGAGACACAAATAAACAAGGGATTGGTTCAGTCAGGGAAGGTAAAGGATGTGTTTTTGTTTATTTTATGAGGCATGTGCATCACATTATAACTAAATTTGGAACTTTTTAGACTGTCATACAGGAGCCTTTGGTTGTAATTTAGCTGTAATACCCTTCAGAAACAATTTGACAAAATAAATGTGAATTAAGCATCTGAATCAGATGTCTTGCATCCACAGGTCTCCTGAGAGCTGAGGTCAGTTATTTCTAAGCCATTGCTTTTTTTTTTATTGCGGTCTGAAACTAAATGTGGTTAATATACTTAGAAAGAATTAAGATTTTAATCCAGTAACACACCCTCCCTGGATTAGCATCATACATTTCCATGGCACCACAAATCACACCATGCATCCTGGCCGTGTGTTGGTTGTTATGGTACTGGAAAACGGACCGCCTGCACCATGAAAACACATGACTGTGCAGCGCCATCAGGATTTATGATTAAAAATATGGGATAAACTGCGTCTCTCATTGAACCAAATACGGGATGCAGCATTTTACTTTTAAATGTCATTTTATATGGGACAGGCAGCAACCCTAATTGTAAACATAAGTACATGTAGGTTTAAACCTTGAATAGATGACATTTCGTTTTCTAAAGCACTGCACGTCAATCGAAATGGCCTTCTAAGTAACTGATTTGTTTTTACTTGTTTCTATCCCATCTCAGGGCTGTTATTCTTCTTCAGTCGCTGTTATTCTCCTTCGACTTTGCAGCTGCTTTGCAGCTGCTTCTACTTTGCAGCTGCTTCTACATAAATCACTTACAACGGATGCTGCTTCTTGATGTTTAAAAGTTTTACTTTCCTACAGAATCAGCTGGTTTCCTGAACATTGGTCCTGACTTCCTGTTTTAGAGTGACTCCTTTCTCAAGTTTAGTGCTATGCAGTCACCCTTCTGTGTGCTAGTAAGCTGTGTGTGTCTCCACAAACACACAGCAAATCAAACTACTCCTCTCCCTCCCTGGCCCCCTCTCATCCCTTCTCCAAGCTAGTAGATGAACAGTTGCTGGATTCTGCTCTGTTCTTTTTTTACCTTGTACTGGACAGGAAGTTCAGGGAAGCTTAGCTGAGAGACTTGGAAGCAGCTGTTCAGAACATACTTATTTTAAGTGTTTAGGCAAAAATGCAAAGCAATAGTTTGCTGGGCAATGTATATTTGTTTGATCTGGATTCATTGTTGAAAACAAATGTGAGAGTTTAATGCTACTTTAAGTGAGAGGGTGACAAAGCAGGAGCACAGTTGGGAGACAGGGGCAGGTCTTTGTCACCCTACAACAGGAAATGCCTAACAAACCTTTTATAGCAGGATCTCCAAGCAATATTTTAATCAAACCTGCAGATTTAAAATGTAAGTTAAAGTTGTATTCTCCACCTTGAGGTTTCTATGAAAAATGTTTCAGATCTCCAATCAGGAGAGGAAGGGGAGCATTGCTTATCAGAGAGCTGTAGGTGGGACACAGCAGGCAGTGCGCTGGACTGCTGCAGAGAGACCACTGCTCTCACACAGAGGATAGGCAGCGGTCTGCCTCTGCAATGTACTGTGGGAAAGCATTTCTCTTCTAGAGCAGAGTGGCGACTAACATAAGAAAACATTAAATGGGAAATGCAACTATTACTGTTTTGCGGCACCTGGATTTTAGCTGCACAGTTTGGGGTGAAGCTATAATTGGGCTTTAACATGGGTAAACTCATATGTGATTTTAGTGATGGGGTTTATATTTACTTTAGGTCCAATTTATGTTAAAACTTGTGTATGGATGATTTTTTTTCTTTTGTAATTATTGTGTTGCTATGTGATTGCAACGTGATTTAGAGCATTACTCTATATAATTTGATGTGTGTTAACCTACTGACAACGGCAGGGATCCTGGAGCAGACAATTCTCAGGTAAGCACTCCTTTTACTTCCCGCAGACTGCTAAAACATGGTTAAAGTGCACTAAGTGTAGTTAAATATTTTCTGACACCATTTACAGCAGATTTTCCTGGTGTGAAAGGATTATTAATTTTATAACAGTCACCGGATGTAAAATATTCTTTCTGAGGTAGCAAAGAGAAAATTATACGATTAATATACCCAGCGGTGCTGGTGGGCTGATGTTATAAATAGCCATGTACAGTGCTAGTCGTGTTTCCATTATCCCATGACTGGACTCCTAAGATACCCCTGTGACACCACTAAAGCTGGAGATTCATAGGGTCCAATCTCCTAAAATATGCACCTCACTACCTTCAAATCCCTAATGTCTCAGGAACTGCATTAAGATCATTAATAATGGTTAAATTGTACTCATACATTTTTAATCAGCACTGAGTTCAGAAATATTGAAGGAATATCCCCACATCAAAGTATATTTAAATAATGGCCACGGGAGAAGCAAATCTAAAATCAATCACTTAGACGTAGAAACATACAAGCAGTTAGTTTGTTAAAGCAAAAGGTATGATGTATAACTTCATAATGATTATGAGATTGAACTAGACTTTTATGATTAAAGAATAAGAATAATGGCAGGCTGCTTCAATCTAATTTCAGATAATACAGTATATTAGATATGGGCCCATGTCTACTAAGGGGAATTTACAATAGTGAACACGTTTGTTACTTTTTTGGGGGAAAGTAGAGTGTGATGGAAATAATGTGGCATACCATCTGTGCTGCCCCACAGCAACCAATAGGATTCTTCCTTTTATTCACCAATACAGTGAACGCAGAATCTGCTTGGCTGCCATGAGGTTACAGAATTCTATGTTCTTCCCTTTGATTCACTCCCTTTGCTCTGCTTCATAACATTTTGGGTCTACTAGGACTTTTTGCTGTTTATTGCCAATATTGTCCTTAGATACCAAACCGCAGCCATATAGAAGGTGTTCAAGTACTGAATGTGCTCTCAAATAAGACTTTTTGGTCCATGGACCAAAGCATGGAAGCCCCGAAGCTCATCTGAAGACAACATTATCACTGCTGGATCTGAGAATTCTTTAAACACCTGGAGCACACATAAGAGTTAACGGCACCCTGTTTCTTTACCTCTAGGGAGTCTGGTTTGGCAGTAAAATCTGCACAGACAAAGTGACACTGTGACAGTCCATAGATTTATACAAGGACAAACTGCCTCTTACAAGGGTGACCCAAGGAACCCATCTGCCTTGTGTTTAGGATGCAGCCTCCGAATTGGGGTCCTCTGCAATCAATATTCATAAGTTCCTGCTGTAGTCTGGACCCAAGCAGCAATCTACAGAAGAAGGCAGACTGCAGGTACCACCAGACAGCAATGGATAACATAGACTGGCATGCAGCCAATCTGATTTGCACTGTACTTTATGCTCACCTGGTCATTTAAATAGATGGAGTTCCATGTAACAAAGCACTTACCAGCTTATACCAAAGCAGCATTGCTCTGTCTGATGGCCAATGCCCCCCTCTATACAAATGACAGATTTTAGTTATGAATGTATTGTAAAATATCACAATCTATATTACCTGATCTGTTTTAGGACATATAGAACACTAGACATATAATCAGTAAATAAGCAGTATATGCATAGTTGGAGCCAGGCAGCTCATCATTATCAGCAATACAAAAGGGAGAGAAGATCATAGAAAGATCATAGACACATCATCACGTTCTGCCCTGACAGTGGCATAATAAAGCAATGTGACATCCCATCCCTGGTCATGCTGTGTTCTCTCATTCACCTGTAGAGACATTTTGCTGTAATGAAGGTGTCAGTGATCGTCCATACACCTGAGATAATGACAGTCAGGGCTGGCAGAGGGAGAGCACAATCAATGAGAGATGCCATTTGATTGTCACTTCCCTCACTCTGCGCTCCCTGATGTGTCTCTGATCTGGTCTGCTTCCAGTGTGTGATGCTGATACTGCTGCTGATGAGGATGATGATGATGATGAGGCTGGGTTGGCTCTGATATCTGAAGCTGCTGTACACACCAGCATTCATACGATGATCGAGTCGTCTGAGCCCAAGGTCACTGGGACAAGAAACCCTGAGGAAAGGCTATCAGTAGCAGCAGCAGTAGCACTGGCAGTCTATTGCAGGGGGCTGCAGCTCTCCAGTCCTCATCTCCCCTCCCCAAAGACTGATGAAGATGTGACACTTGTAAAGTGTGCTGCATGCTGCAGTGTGCCTGATCCGGAGGCTGAGGATGGTGCACTGCTTGTCCGAGGGCTCGGCGGTGATCGCAGCCCTGCTGCTGCTCTGCTCTCATCTTCTGCCCGAGTCCCAGGCTGGCTGGAGCTGCGGAGATCTGCTGTGCGGAGACAAGGAGGGCTGCTGTGTATTCGGGAACGTCAGCCACACGGAGATCAAATGCTGCAAGCTGCCCTTCCACACTTTCCTGGACAACGTGGGCTGGTTCGTCAGGAAGCTGTCCGGGCTGCTCATCCTCCTGGTGCTCTTTGCCATCGGCTACTTCTTACAGCGGATGATCTGCCCTAGCCCCCGCAGGTACACCCGGCCCCAGCCGAGGGGGCAGAACGGCCCGGGGCTGCTCAACGAGACCAGCTCGCAGGACTCGCTCATTGATAGTGTCCGGCACCTCTCCGAACACGAACTGCGGATCATCTCCTCGCCCGTCTTCCTGCAGCTGCCCAGCTATGAAGAGGTTAAATACCTACCCACCTATGAAGAGTCCATGAGACCAAACCAGGTCATCCTGCCGGTGTCCCAGATCCCATCCCAGCCGGGGGACAGCGCTGCCACCGGGAATGGGACATTGCCTCCGTATTCACACTGAACCGGCATGGGCCAGGAACACACAATGCTCAATTCAGATTTCAGACTTCCTATAGACCTAATCTATATGCCCCCTTTGTCCTGCATTGTGCTGTAATGACCAGCCTTGGGCAACCTGAGGCTGATCTGGGTCAGTAACACATAATGCTCATCAATTCAGATTTTTTTCAGCCTTCCTATAGACCTAATCTATATTCCCCCATGTCCTGTATTGTCCTCTACACTCCATGCAGTAACTGTACCCCTTTATTGTCCCATAATGTCCTCCAGTGCCCCAGCTGAATAATTCATATTCAAAAATGACCAGCCTTGGGCAACCTGAGGCTGATCTGGGCCAGTAACACATAATGCTCATTCATTTAGATCTTTTTTTTATTCTGTGGCAGCCTTCCTATAGACCTAATCTATATGCCCCCCATATCCTGTATTGTCCTCTACACTCCATGCAGTAACTCTACCCCTTTATTGCCCCATAATGTCCTCCAATGCCCCAGCTGAACAGTTCATATTCAAAAATGATCAGCCTTGGGCAACCTGAGACTGATCTGGGCCAGTAACACTTATGCTCATTCATTTAGATCTTTTTTTGTTCTATTCCAGCCTTTTTATAGATCTAATCTATATGTTCTAGTTTCCAGTATTGCCTTCTGCGCCACTTCATGCAGTAACTGTACCCCTTTACTGCCCCATAATGTCATCCAGTGTCCCAGCTAAACAGTTCATATTCAATAACAACCAGCCTTGGGCAACCAGTTGCTGACCTGGGCCAGTAACACTTAAGCTCATTCATTTAGATCTTTTTTTATTCTGTTCCAGCCTTTTTATAGGTCTAATCTATATGCCCCCCTTGTCCTGTATTGTCTTCTACCTTTCATGCAGTAACTGTACCCCGTTATTGCCCTATAATGCCCTCAGTCCTGTCACTGTCCTCCAGTGCCCCAGCTAAATAGTTCATATTCAATCATGACCAGCCTTAGGCAATCTGTGACTGATCTGGGCCAGTAACACTTAATGCTCATCAGTTAACATCTTTTCCTATAGATACAATTTGTATGCCCCCTTGTCCAGTATTGTCTTCTGCACCCCTTCATGCAGTAACAGTACCCCCTTATTGTCCTATAATGTCCTCATTCATGTCATTGTCCTCCAGTACCCCAACCGTTTATTTCCTATTCAATAGTGATCAGTCTTGGGTAACCTGTGGCTGATCTGGGGCAGTAACACATGTTTAATAATTCTTTTTTTCTTTTTTGTTCTGTGCCAGCCACTTATTGTCCCATAATGTCCTCATTCATGTCATTGTCCTCCAGTACCCCAGCTGAATATTTGATATATTTAAATAATGGTCAGCCTTGGGCAACCTGTGGCTGACCCGGGCCAGTAACACATAATGCTCATTGGTTTAGATGTTTTTTTTGTTCTGTTGCAGCCTTTATATTGATCTAATCTGCATGCCCCCCTTGTCCTGTATTGTCTTCTGCAGTAATTGTGCCCCCCTCCCTTATTGTCCTATAATGTCCTCATTCCTGTAAATGTCCTTTAGTGCCCCAGCTGAATATTCAATATCAGCCTCATGATCAGCCATGGGCAATCTGTGGCTTTACAGCGGTAGCTGAACTACAACTTCCATCCTGTCCTGCTGCTCTGTAACAGGGCATGCAGACATTTTCAGTTGCATTGCAGCTGGACAGACACAGGTTAACTTACCTCTATTATTCATCAAGGCTGCAGGTAAAAGCCTCCATTAAAGGAAGACGTCCCATCTGTCGCTGTGTAAACTTAACGGTCTGGCTGATCAGCAACTGGAGGGCCAAATGTATTCTGGAGTTGTATACACTGCAGCAAACTTGACTTTTTTACAGTTTTGATGTAGACACAACCGGAAGTCAATAAGCTCAATGTTCTGATTTAACAGTTGGGATCCATTACAAAGCATTCTTCGGTAGTAAGAGCAGTGAAGCTAAAAGGCCTAACCATTCTTTGTTTTGTGCAGTCCTCGCTTCATGTCTATGTGTCCAAGTTATATGCTGCAGTGGTAATGCTCCTGCTGCATACACCACTCACCTTGCAGCATCCATATCTCTTGCAATACTCTGTTGCATACATCTTTATTTGAAACGCAGATTCTATGTAGTAGCTCATTTTGCACTGCTATCTATTATGATCTACATACTTACCTCTAGCCTCCTGACTGCAGTTTTACTGTAGGTAATACTTGGCAGCTAATGGATAATCTCAGCTGTGCAGAGCTCCCCTCTGGACCCATATTGCCTGTTTTCATCATCAGCCTTGTCATGTCCATTTTGGAATGCAACCTGCATTTTCTTTCTGCAAGAACCACGAATGGTGGATTTGCACTCTAGTATAGTGCACTATAGCACTTCTATAGATTTTTCTGATCAGATCCTTGGTTGGCCACCGAGGAACTTTCCCAATTCCTTGGAGAGAAAAAAAGTTTGAGGATTTGCTGCTGTAATTCTGTTTTTTGACTTAATCGGATGCAAGACTCAGCATTCTGCAACCAGTCTCTGGCAGAAGCCTTTGTCAGTAGAAAGACTACTTCCATCCTTTACAGGATAATCAATAAACTCCTAGATATCATTTTGCTAGAAACTCCTGGAGTGGGACAGAGTTCTGGAAACAGACACAATGAATTAACCTTCACATTACATCTTGTTATCTATTAGTTATATCGCAAGTGCCTGAGATCTATGTTATTCTGTCTGACGTACGCTTTAATCACTTTGCTCTCCTGCAGGCAATAAGGCACTCTGGAAATCACAGAGTGAGGTACTTAGGATGCGTTTACTACCATAACAATCTGCTAGTGATGCTATGATGGTAAACTCCTTTGTGCCTTTATCTGAAGTTTTGTACTTCAATATATATATAAGAACAAGCATACAAGCCATAGACTTCTGTCAGGTGCCTGACTAACCGCTGTGATAAATAGGAGATGTACAGCAAAGTTCACAGAATGGTGCAGGAGGGTTTCTAGGCTGCGGAGGTCTGATGTCCATTGCACTAGACTACTCAGACCAGCAATGCACAGAGAAGCAGTGGATGTGGGTTCTAATTGCCAGAAAGGTACACGTTGTCTTTGTAATACAGAAAGATGTAGGAACACACTGAATGATATGCATTATTCACAGCTTGGTGACTGCTTTGCTTTCTGCTTACACAGTCAAGCCAATTTAAGAATTGTATTGGTTTTGGCCCCATATAGTAGGAATCAAATGGTATAATAATTTGAAAATATTGTAGCACAAGGAGTATTTGTGTGGAATAGCTCAGGAAAACCAATCAGAGTATGCCTTTCATCATTCTGCAATAATCAGGAGAAGAGATGACTGCTGATTGCTTTATGTGGGGCACCACACATTTCTCCTTGTCTTGTTAAGCAACTGACGGGCATATTTATATTAAAGTCAAATGTGCCTGAATATGACCTCATTCACTGACCATGCTCTAGAATTGGGCCTATAGACTCATGCTTGTTTGGTCTAAAGGGCTTACGCTAGCCTATGCATATGATGATATAAGCTAGAGAGATGTAGTCTTCGTTTTGTAGCGTGGTGAATGTACGGTGATAATTGAGCGGGAGCTGGTTTGTATTGGTAACAACGGTGTTGATAGAATCAGTGGTTTGCTTTTTGAAAACTTTGAATGTTTAAAGACTGATTAATGTGACTTTGGCCAGAAATAAATATGGCAAATGTTACTGACATCTGGATTTCCCATTGAACAATGGGAAATCCAGATGTTGGCTGGACAGCTTTGAATGTGGCTTAATGAGGCGTATGTGGTTTTTAAAAAAGGCTACAGATCTTCCTACAAGTGTTCAGGTGGCAAGAAAAATATAGTGTAAGGTTGGAGAATTTGCTGCTAAATAAATATGCCCCTAGTATATAGTGTAGAGGTGCTCAGGGGGATCCAGGAAAAGGTTTTATGGATTCAATAATGGACAGATTTAAATCTCTTTAGATCGCAGTATCTCTGGAATTTCCAGAACAACGGCCGCTCTTAAATTTGCTGCCTCCTAACAGTACCCCATAAAGAGTTGGACTCTGTACTCAGAGTGGTTTTCCACTAATAATAACAAGTGGACCCCCGTTTGAGACTTTTCTATATACTGTAGGAGCACATAGGTTTCCTCCAATTTCCTGCTATACGGGCCCTTTTTCTGCTGGATGAGATTCCACCGTATTTTGGCTTCTCCATTCTAGTAAAATGGTGCTCTTATGAACTCCGTTGTATTAGAATAGAGAGGTTTTCAGGGCTTATTAACAAGGTAGGGAAAAGATATTGCCAAGTGCTGTAACCTATAGAAACCCATCAGACTTTATCTTTCATTGATCTGACTACAGCAAATTAAGATGATTGGTTGATTTTGGGCAGTTGCACTTTGCACACCTTTCTGTTCTATGGCCTGCTGTAATAAACAAGCCCATTAGTCTGCAAAGACCAAGTAAAAAATTATAAGGTGTAGAACTGATTGTAACTTAGGAGGAGAAGACAAATGGCGGGAAAGCTTGGCAGAATCCCTTGGTATTGCTATGAAAGGGGTTTGGAGCCGAGGTGCATCATTTTATATACAGAGCACTGCTTCTTTAGTGGATCATCGAGAGGAGGAAATATTGTAGCTCGTTCTGCCAAAATATTATGCTTGCTTCTGGCAGTTTGACAGCCATAAACATAGATGGGTTTTGCTTATTACCTCTTTCATTCATAAAAACGTAAAAAGAAACTAACAGCGCATTGACCTCTCACTGCCTTCTTTAGCACTTATTGGTTTAGCTCAGGCCTTCCAAATGGGGAAACATTTGAAATACATTTCTGTACATTTGTATCAGTATGATTTATTCTCCCAGTAGATCTTTTTATTTCTTAGGTGTCAGATCTGAATGAATTACCTTTGGATTTGACGTGTGTAAATGCTGGTCCCTCAGATTGTTTGGCAGCTATTTTATTCTGATTCAGTGAGAGCTTGATCTTTAAGTATGGGTGCCCTAAACAAGGTGCCGTCCTATTTATGTCAGCCATGAACTTGATTGTGCTTAAAGATTAGATGATACTGAGGCAGCTAATGGTGCTATTGTTGCCAATGGGATGGTTATATAGCATTTTGTAATTAACGTGGATCTGTCACCTACAAACTGCGGGGTAGCCATTTTGTGTGCCCAAACCATAGACAGACATCCTGTAGCAGTCAGACATTCCATATACATCACACCACAGCGATCACGTACATTTACACATTCATTTTCTACAAATGTGCATTTCTTTTCTCAAAGGAACACTATTCAGTTACCTAAATGACTATGACCAATGGCTAAGCTACAGTCAGAGTGAAAGTGACATGTATGTATACAGTCTAGCTGGAATAAATAAAGCATAAGTCATAGAGTTGCTGAAATACTCTATCTATCTATCTATCTATCTATCTATCTATCTATCTATCTATCTATCTATCTATCTTCATACAGTCAGTCCATCTATCTATCTATCTATCTATCTATCTATCTATCTATCTATCTATCTTCATACAGTCAGTCCATCTATATCTATGTATGTATCTCTCTCTCTCTCTCCCTCTCTCTCTCTCTCTATTATCTCTCTCATCTCTCTATCTATCTATCTATCTATCTACCGTGTTTCCCCGAAAATAAGACACTGTCTTATATTTTTTTTGGCCCAAAATAACACACTAGGTCTTATTTTCGGGGTAGGTCTTTTTTTTTTTTAAATATACAACACACTACATGTATTCATGTACAAAAATATGGTGATCAGGGCAATCAGGGGTGTTGGTACCTTTCTAAGAGCAATTTGCTAACCAATCGCTGGCCAGAATGAGCGAAGCGCACTTTCACTATCAATTCCTCACAGGCGGAGTGCATTTGGTATCACTCCGCCTGTGACAGGAGCCGGCGCTATAGAGGAAGCATAGGCTTATGCGTCTCTGCTCCCTCCGCTGCTTATATTTTAGCAATTCACAAAAATAGTACTAGGTCTTATTTTCGGGGAAACAGGGTATCTATCTTCATACAGAGTCTTCTCTCTCTCTCTCTCTCTCTCTCTCTCTCTCTCTCGCTCTCTCGCTCTCTCGCTCTCTCGCTCTCTCCCTCTCCCTCTCCCTCTCCCTCTCCCTGAAAATCGCTCTCCAAGGCCCTTTGGCTGAGATCACATGACCAGTTGCTAGATGATGGTCACATGATTAGCCCCCAGGAGAACATGGAGCAGAAGTTTCTTCAGGATAGATATTTTACTTATTCTATTACTGATCCCTGGCAAGACTACTAGCATGCATGTAGAATAACTTTATATGCGTTGGTGTGTCTGCTTCAAAGCTGAATTCCAGATGAACCGCTAAATGCTCAAATCAAATACATACAGCTACATACTATTTCACTTGCTGAAGGATTTGCACTCCAGTTCATCCTTTCCTGAGATTTAGACAGCTCTGCCACACAGCACAGCCCTGTCTGGCAGGACAGAAGACCTGATTTTTCTTGGCTGCAGTTAAACAAGAACTCCGGGCATAATCTTAACCCTTGCAGTGGGGCTACCCCCACACTGTAAGGGTTATGTATTTGTTTTGAGCTAGGGACGAAAATAACAAAGATATACTCACCTGAACCTCCAAGCTGGCTGTCGGCTTCTCTGGTCCCTCCTGCCGTTCTCTTCCTCCGCTCCAGCGATGGAATGTCCCTTAGTGTCCTCACGTCCTATACACTGTATAGAACTTGATTTACAGGACCATAGACCGCTGAAGCGAAGAGGGAACGAGCGGGCAGGGACCATTCTAACAGCCAGCTGGCACTAATAGTCAGGTAAGTACATGTTTTTTATTTTCGTCCCTAGACCAAAACAAGCTCTTAACCCTTGCAGTGCGGGGGGTAGCTCCACTGCAAGGGTTTGGAATAATTATGCCCAGAGTTCTTCTTTAAGTAACAGTTACATGCCATGTCCCTCTCCCACCCTGTGAAAAGAGAAGCAGCAAATAAATGAGTTAATCTCTTAGACACTTTGCTGTCTCCTCCTTTCAGCGTGTTCCTGTTTAGCCCATGAGTACTGCAGCACAGTTGATTGGCTCCTTGTCCTGGTTCTCTACTTCTCACTTTCCCAGTTTGATGTACAGACAGGGCCGTCCTTACCTTTCTCGCCACCTGGCCGGCCAGTAGAAGGGGAACGAACTGTCATCTGGGCAAGAGCCAAGCTGTGCTGTTAGTCACCTCCCGCAATGAGATGCTGCCTCATTATGGGGACGCCTCTGTGCACAGGGGACTGCATGAGGCTGATACCAGGTCCAATGTATGTACCTACACGCTTACATTGTAATAAATACATTAATGATGTATGAATAGATACAGAGCTGCTACAATATGTGTCTTTTCTAAATGCCTGGTGTCCAGCTCTAAGTTACCCACACACAAAGGGTGATTATATTTCCATTAATCAGATCTTCAGAAATCACATTCCCACCTGACATGTGCACCCACTGAACAGTGCAGACCTGCAACACTTCATCAGATCTTCTGTGTGCAGAGCTTGATAAATCAAGCAAGATATATTAATCTGTTCTCAAATTCCCCCGCCCCCCCGGCCAAGACTCCAAACGGATGCATTGATCTGGAATAGACCGGGCAATGGTTTCGTTCACAAAATGGCTTCTTCTACTTTGTACTGGTTAATGGATCATTTCTAATCGATGAATGTAATTTAAGATTTCCCAGTGCTCCAGCCAAGATCCCAACCTTCAGCACTGATCTAATGTCATCAGTTCAATGGTAGCACTGCATTGGAATCTTGATTCAGTTTACTCCTCATAAACATCCCCGGTGACATCTGGTGAAAGGCCAATTGAACTTTCAGTTGAAATCAGCAAAATACATTCCCTGTGCATTAAAATAAAAGGGGCCAATTCACAAAGCTAAAACACCAGGATAAGGATCTTTATTTAACAAAACGTGACAGTTATTTTCTCTTGTGCCCAATGAGATCTGAAACGAACAGTCACATGGCTAAAAATAAAGATCCTTAACCTTGTGTAAAGCATTGTGAACAGAGCCTAAGGTGTTCAAAGTCTTACAGTGTGTATCCTTTTAAAAACAGCCCCCAGCAGGTTAGAATAGCCTGTGTCCTGCCAGCATACTGCAGAGAAGGAACCTTGCTCTCTGTGTGGAAGCAGGGGTCTCTCTGCTGAGGAATGGCATGCCCCCTGCCAAGTCAGAGCTAGAGCTCTCCATTTAACATGGGGCATGAGCTTCACTGATTAAAGATCTCTAGCTCTGACAGGGGAAGTGTCATATCTCTGCAGAGAGACCACTGCTTCCACACAGAGAGCAATGTTCCTTCTCTGCAGCATGCTGCGATGGGAGAGGCTTTTCTACTCAGGATGTGGCTGCTTTCATAGAAAGCTAACTGGAAGACTATAATTGTATTTAGCTGCTTTGACGTGAATGTTCAATTGGGCGTTAAGTCTCGGTAACGGTTGACTGATGTTTATGAATACATTTAGTAAAGCAGGTCAGTTTGAATAACTGACATCTCTGATTGTTTCATGCCTTAGTGATGTCACAAGTTTCTACTAAATGGTCAGGCCGGGCATTGGCTCAGCCGACAAAATGGTCTCCTCGACTTTGTACTGGCTAATGGAAAATTTCTATGAACGAATGTAGACATGCAAAAGCAGAAACCTGTTTATGTACTTGATTTTAAAGCTAGCTCATATGCCCTGTATTTTCTTTCGTTGGGTTGATTGGAAAGATTGTACTGAAAACATGCAATATGAGGGAAGAGAATAAACTATTTTTTAGAATTTGATGCCTTTCTGGTCTATTAATAGCGCTTTGAAATACCATTTAAACCAATGAAAGCCTTGATTAAAGTTTGGAATGTACTAAGCTCACATCTAAGCTAATTGTCTATGAGGTGCATGGCATTTTTCTGTTATCAAAAGAGGGATTGGTGAAGATGAGCAATTCACATGTCTTCACATTGTACCATACATACAAAGAAACCTTGCCTACATACCAAGCCTTAGGGAAACGCTGAAGATCCTAGACTGCCAGCCCATGCTTCGGCTCTTATGCAAACATCCAAAAGATCAAGGGGCTGATGTATAAAACTACCACTGAGTATATAGCTAAACAACATTATGGCTACTAGATGGAGCCAAGGAGCTTTGGAATTTCCTATGTTCCTCGGTTCCATCTAGTGGTAGTAATGCCATGCTAATAACATTTGCTCAGCTATTCGCTGGGTGGAAGTTATAAACATCAGCCTCCTAGAGATATTCACTGTGATATATGCTCTCTGAAGCTGCACCTGATTTGAAGAATAAGGGGCCACTATTCTTATGCCGGCCATGTATTGGGTAATAATGTTCACACTTTAATATTTTGCTTGTGTATTGAAAATTTTAGATAACCCTCCTGTTGAAAGTATCACACTGTTGATTGGAATGCGTAGATTAAACCAGCCTTTCTTAACCAAGGTGCCTACTGGCTTCCTCAGGGGTGGCTCGAAATTTTCACACCGCATCATGCCTTTCCCTGATGTTAAGGGGGGCTCCTGATGTAAAGTAGGATTCTGATGTGAAAGGAGGGGGGGGGGTCCGATGTGAAGGAGGCTTCTAATGTGCAGGGGGTGTCTGACTTAAAGGGGGGCTGCTCACTTTTGGTTGTGTTTTTGTGTGGGTTCCCCCTATTAAAATCTGTCCCAGGCCCCTATGGACTGGTATGGATTTTGAAGGGGCCACATGTCGTTTTTTACATTTAAGACTGGGGTGCTTTGAGTCTTTGCATACTTTCAAAGGGTGCCCTGACTGAAAAAAAGAGTCAGGAAACACTGTATTAACTATTCATGTGTAAAGATTTTCAGTAATCAATGTCGGCATGGTTGGCCATTCATCAACATTAGACAGCTTTAAAGTAGTATTGAAGGCTGATAGTTTTTTACCATAATGCATTCTTTGCATTAAGGTAAAAAAACGAACGATCAGCACTTTTTTGTGTGTCCCCCACACACTTACCTGTCAGCGCTGTCACCACCGACAGTCCCTGAAGCGATCCTGTTCCCCGAACTTCCTAGTTGCGGGGGGAGGATACTGAGGGCAGAGGAGCCACAGGGAGAGGAGGAGCGTCCCCTGCCGCAGGGCTGTGTGTGTCTATGGATTCACACAGCACCGTAGGAACACGCAGGCACAGGTGCCTCCAAAGCAGCCACTTAGCTGATGGGGGCACCCGTGCAAGGGGGCGGGGAAATGAGTGCTCCAGGGACCCACTAGAAAATGAGGAATAGAAGCTTTTTGAAGAAAAAGATCAGACGATTTATAAGAGGGTGAGCCTCCAAGATGCAAAAAAATTTAAAAAGTGAAGCTTTAATATCACTTTAACTATCTGAATGTGCTTGTCCTATTGGGCCATTACTTAATCTGTAGGGTATGGAAGTTCAGCCGCAATGACGTACGTCTCCATTATAAGGGAACGGGGAAATGCACTTACAATATCTGCATACATTTACAGATGTGATTATTATACAGCTGCATATTTTATCCTTCCATGACAGATACCCAAGCAGATTATCACCTATTTGCTACTATTATCCTCTTAAAGTGATACTAAACTCAGTAGTTAAATCTTAAAAAGGCACTCAGGTTCCCTAACTATTAATAAAAATGTATCTTATTGTGTATCACTCGGCTGTAGATCCTCAAATGATCTCTGAATTCATACTGACACAGTCCTTCCTACTGGAGAGTGGCTACATTTGTTCCCCATGGTCCCTGTGTGTGTTGTAAAGTAGTCACCACTCCAAGCTCGCTCCTGTGATGAACTACAATCTCATGTTTAGTTAGCTAATTTGTATTGAGATTATAACTCTGAGCTACATTTTGTTTTTAGTTTAGTGTCACTTTAACATTATACATCTCAAAAAACAGATTATCTCCTTTCCGATGTCAATAAAGTCTGAATAAGTGATCATTGGAGCGGTTTCTCTCCTAATGCATTTCACAGATATATGTTCTGCTCCATCAGTAGTTTTGCGAGGTGTTACTAGCGATAAATACAAGATATATAAGAAAAAAACTGTAAAAAGTATATTTCCACTTTTGCAGTCAATGTTGGGAAAACCCCTCCACATGCTTGTTGTGTGTTCCCGTTCACACAGCATACTAAAAAATATTTCTTACCTTTTAGGTGTTTTGTTAGAGCAACCCACATGGCTGAATCCACATTTTCCTGTAGCAACTTCACATTGATCTATCCTTATAGAAAGACTTAGGACTAAAAATTGAGGATTGTTTTTTTCTCATTAACTTCAATAACATACAATGGAGACACCAGGGTTGTAATCCTTTAACCCTTTGTTAGGGTTAAAGCAGTGTTCAGATCTACTTTACAAATTATAATAAATTGAGCCAGCACAGTACAGACAGGGTCCCAAAACCCCTCATAGTCTCTCCTAGCATTACAAGGAAGGAGAAGCAAGCAGAAACCTTAACCATTAAGAAGCCAACAAACCCTAACCCAAGTAAATACAATTTAAACCGCAAGAAACATTTTGTAAATATTTGTTTAGATTATGCTATGTGAATGGGAACATGTAACAAATATAAAATAGGTGTTATCCCAAATCAGTTGCGAAAGTGGAAATACGCATAAAATGATATCTTAAAACATAATACAATTACTATTAATTATATATATATATATACAATTAAAGTTGTGTGGACTCTAGGTCAAGTTGTGGCTGCTATGTTATATCATGGGCAAGTGTTGGAGTACAAACAGGGGGACCCCAAACCAATGGAGCAGACATGAGCTGTCACAATATTACATATATGAATAATAAACTCAAACAGACACCCAAGGAGTAATATATGCTTTGACAAGATCAAAATATGTCAATTTACCTATTCCTTATCACATACAAAATGCGCTGTTTAGCCGCCCCTCCCTACGTCTTTACTCACATGAAGATTAGGTTGAAAATGACCTAATTTGTTAAATAATTAGTGGCCGCTTTCATTTTTCAATGGGCAGTCAGTCGATAGAAGAAGCCATTTCACATTGTTACAAGTTTTGCATAGCTTTGGGCTTTTCTCATGAAAAATGTTGTGTGTCTTCCTGTCTAGCAAACACTCCAGCCCCCACTTGACACATTCACTAATTCTTCCAGTGACTGTATCTGAATTCAGTAATGATTATGGAGGCGATTA